TACTACTCAAGTAAGAGTAACTTAAAGAGTAACTGTCAGGATGCATCTGATTTATAATTTGAAGTTAATGAAATTTGAAGGGAAAACATTAAATAACGCACAAAATCTAGAAAAGCTAAATCATGTCTGAAGGAGCGGGTGCAAGAAACACAGATGTTCAAATAACTTCATATTGTCAACATAAAGTTTTGTCACTTGTAGACTTACAGTGGGAAGAGAAACCAAAACTTTTACTCAAATAAGAATACTGTTAGTTCAATAAAAATATTGCTCAAGTAGGAATAAAGAATACTTCGAGAAAAAAGTTACTCAAATAAATGTAACTGAGTACTACCTCCTTCTGTCTATAAACTATAGTAAATGCACTTGATTTAATGAGACACCATGTTCTATATATTTCAGTATCAGAATATATTTCATTCAGTCAAGCCAATTCACACTTAGACCTATGGTTTAGCTTTATGTAATTTTTATTAACAGAACCATTTTGAGTCTGGATTTAAACAGTCAATGTAGATGTCTGTCTCACATGTTCAGGAAGACCGTTCCAGGATTTAGCTGCATAAAAATGAAACACTGACTCCCTGTGTTTAGTCCTGACTCTGGGCACCAGCAGGAGGCTGGTCCCTGAGCTCCTCAGAGTGCAGATGTTTCATATGGCACTAACATGTCACAGATGTACTTTGGTGCCAGGCCATGAAGAGACTTGTACACAAGCAGAGCTGCTTTAAAGTCTATTCTCTGAGCCACAGGGGGCAGTGCACAGACCTGAGACAGGACTTATGTGCTTGTACTTCCTGGTTCAAGTCAGGACCCGAGCAGCAGCGTTCTGGATGTACTGCAGCTGTCTGACAGCAGATGTGCAGTTACAATTTCACACAGACATCTTATAACAATTGGGACTAAAACAGGCCTAAACCAGGACTAGACCAGAACGACACCAGAAAAGAACCAAACCAAGCCTCAGGATATGGTTCATAAAACTGATTATTTTCAATCATCTATCCATTCTTACCACTCCCACTGTCTTCTATACAGAGGGCTATCATTTTGTTGGCTTCCCGCAGTTATGTATCATCAATGGCAGATGTCGCGGAGAGACCAGGAAGTCAATTAGAATAGATGCTTTTGTGATGTGACTGTCATCCCTCAGGCTCTTGTTCTCTGGTAATTGTTGTCCAATGGGCCAGCTCCTCTCTCTAAGCACTCTGTAATAAACAAACACTCCAGTCTCCATATGAAACTATGATCCCGCTAACCCCCCGGGACAGGTCAAGTGTCAGCCCCACCCCCAAAGCCTGTCTATGGGCTGAGGAGATGCGTGGGTCATTGCTTGTGTAACCTTTTACCCTCTGAGGAGAAAAATCAAATACAGAGAATTATATTTGGAAAACACGTGGAATATGAAACTGTAATATTTTATTACGGTGACAACAAACACAGGCCGGCTCAGCTCACAGAGAGTAAACATCGTCCCGGAAAATGAGAAAAGGACACCAGGATACAGCAGATTATAGCATTTGATTGAATTCAATGCAACAAAAAGCAGCAATTAATAGAGACTATTGTTCTATAATTGTGGCTTTGTGGTATTTCTTTTATATATTGTTAAGTTTTGGGTCACTTTAAATATGTGTGTTATTTTAAATACACATTTAGAAATAAACTTCTTTGGTAGAACTATCTTAATGAGAAAGGGATACAGAGGAAATTAACATGTATTATCACTTTATCTGCAGGCAGGACAGCACAAAAACACTAGAGCTCAAAGTATCCACCTTTTCTTTGTTGACAGAACTGTAAACCCTTGGCCTTTTCTAAGTCAGCTTCATGATGAAGTCTCCTGAAATGGTTTTCACTTCAAAGGTGTACCGTGTAAAGATCTCAAGAAATGCAAAGCAGTGATTAAAGCAAAGGGTATATCCGTCCATCTATCCATTTTCTTCCACTTATCCGTGACCAGGTCGTGGGGGCAGCAGTCTAAGCAGGAACTCCCAGACTTCTTTCACCCCCACCACTTCCTCCAGCTTCTCCCGGGGGACCCCAAGGCGTTCCCAGGCCAGTCGAGAGACATAGAGACATAGTCCTAGTAAGTTCTGGGTCTTCCCCGGGGCCTCCTCCTGGTGGGACATGCCCAGAACACTTCCTACGGGAGGCGTCCAGGAGGCATCCAGAACAGATGCCTGAGCCACCTCAGCTGGCTCCACTCAACCTGGAGGAGCAGCGGCTCTACTCCGAGCTCCTCCTGTATGCCTGAGCTCCTCACCCTATCACTAAGGGAGCATCCAGCCCCACTACAAAGGAAACTCATATCGACTGCTCGTATCCATGATCGTCCTTTCATTCATTACCCAAAGTTCATGACCATAGGTGAGGGGAGGAAGGTTGACTGACCGGTAAATCAAGAGCTTTGCCTTTCGACTCAGCTCCCTCTTCACCACAACGGTTCAATACAGCGACTGCAGCACTGCACTGCAAAGGGTATAAGTTATTTTAAAATGTTTTTAATCTAAAACCAAATTTACTATTGTTATTTTGACTTAATTTTTTGTTTGCTACATATATCCATTCATAGTTTTGATAACTTCACTTAGAATCTATAATGGAATAACCATGGAAATAAAGAAGAAAAATAAATACATTTAAGAGACGGGGGGCAATTCCTGCTCGGACCAAGTTTTTTCATTGTGTCCTTAGGCAAGACACCCTCCTTTGTGTAGTTCCACAGTGGTGTGAATGAGTGATGGGTGATGGTCGAAGGGGCCAGTGGTACAAGTTGACTTTCTTGTTTCCGTCCGTAAATCATAACACATCTTCTTTAAGTTCATGCATCTACATACTATCAAACCATTCCTTTCTCTAATTAAGTTTAGATCACATTTTCAACCATTTCATATTTCACTGGGTGTGGCAGTGGCACAAAAACTCATCAAACACGTAACAGCACCTCAAACAGAACTAGAATTTGTTGAAACTGCACATCATCCCTACACGCCCTGCAGCTTCGTAACTAGCCTCAAACTCCAACCGTACGCCACATTTCTTCCTCTCAAACTCGTCAGACATCTTGGCTCCATCTCCCCTTAGCGTCCGTAGCGTGGTGAGGGCTGCTCTGATTGTTGAAGGCCCTTTCTTTGCTTTTCTCTTGTCTGGGCGTCTGTCAGACTTTCTACCTCTCTTTGTCTAATAACACAGCTCTTGGTCGGTAGGTGTCCAGTCTGCAGCTCCTCTGTCCAAATAAACCGTCACACTTTGAAGAAAAAGGATCAGAACTCAAGCTAAGCTGCATTTCCTCTCGCTGTGTCTCCTCTGTATCCGATCTCAGTCTGGAGCTTAATTATGCCGCCAATATTTCATTTAGCGAAACAATGAACTTTTTCTGAGATTTTTCAAATGAAGATGTCTCGCTTTTATTTATTTATATTTTGAGTTCTGCGTAATGGAGTTGAACAAAGGCGTGATTTGAGTCAGAAAGCTCAGCAGGATTTTAATTCTCTGCTGTCAAAAATGAGAGGTGCAAATAAACAAGAAGCAAAAGCTGGAGAAAGGATTTGAGACAGATACACAGAAATTTGATGTTAAAGTGGTTATGACTTTTGTTCGGTTCAACTACTCATTTTACTAAAACACAGTTAAGATTTGTATATTTAAGATTTTCACTAAAACATTCACACGCGTTTTCCCAATCTGGCCATTTTTTAGGTTATAAAATTTTAGTTCCTGGTTGGAAATTAGGGAAACCTCCTCTAATCTACGCCGAAATTAATATCAGACAAATACAAATATAAGAAAACACATTTATTTTGTTTCTAATGTTTAAAATATTGGAAAAAATATGTTTCTTATGTGTAAAATGTGGGTAACTTTTGAACAGAATTCTTCCTATTGTGATCAGTGTTATGGTCATTTCTAACACGTTTCAACTTTTCTTCACAAATTGCTTCTAGATTGATATAGAACTATAATTTATATTTGCAATAGTTATGATTCTCAAATTCTTACTTCATTTGGTGAGAATATAAAAATCTCATGCACACTTTAATATGGAAACTACTTAGATGTACAGAGATTATTTGCACACACAATACTGAACGTATATTGGATTTATCGCTGACAATCTGTTACATTTCTTTTTGTTTTATTTTGGAGGGGGGCTCGGGCTGTACTTGTACTTGTGGTGTGAATTTGATCATTGTATTTTCCATTTGAGAGAAGAAATATGCAGAATTTGTGTGTTAAACATGTTTGGGTTACTTCCAGGCAAAATTACAGATCAGATCAGCGGAGAGGCAAGCCAACACAGAGTAAGAATGCACTGTAAACCCGGATAAGTTACCAGAACTAAAAAAAAATGAGGCAACCGATGGCCTCAATTATTTTAAGTTGATGAACTTAAAAGTCACAATCTTCCAGAACTTAAAAGGTTGGATGGTTTGCTACTTGTACCTTTTGATAATACTTTAATCAACAAATATTGGTTAAAATTACTCAAAAAGAAGAACATATTACAGCTACTTGACATAATTAAGTTAGTAGTAGTAGTAGTAGTAGACTATTTCTAAAACTTTGAGTATACACAACTTAATTTATTTAATTAAATTGAACATTCGGGTTTACAGCGTGCATGCTTTTCAAGGTCTGTTATTTCAGACAAAATAATAATATATTCATGAAGACAACCAGGCTTACCCTTCATCAGAAAAGTTACATAGAGCACCTTTAGTGTTGTGTCTTTATACCCACTTAAAATCTTGAAATAATCATACTTTCTTATTTTAATTTCTGTAATGTAGTTCTGTTTGACTTTTTACATTTGTACTATAAAGCATTTTGTATTATGTTGTGATATTTATCTATGTATTGCCAAACTAACGACTTCTACAAGTAATAACAACACACATAATAAAGAGCCTCTCCTGTCCACTTCTTTCAGAGTCTGTATTGATTGACTGAGTCCATCTCATTAACATGTGTATTTCCCTGTTATCTGTGTGTCCCAGGTGCAAGTGTAACCTCCACGCCAACAGCTGTGTGTTTGACAAAGGGAAACTGGGGTGTGAGTGTGAACACAACACCACGGGGCCCGACTGCAGCCGCTGTAAGAAACACTACCACGGGAGGGCCTGGAGTGTGGGCTCCTACCTGCCCATCCCCAAAGGGACCGCCAATATATGTGAGTAAGACATAAAGCTTTATTGCATGATATAACAACATTCAAAGTGTATTCTCTCATTAGTTTTAAAATGAAGATTAAAGTAAAAGTCATAATAAAGTACGTTAAAGAGGGGGTGTTGTGCAAAATTGGCTCAAAATATGCCTTAAGAGGTTTAAGATGTCAGCCCTGCATGTTTCAGTAATCTCTCCCAGGGCCTATTCAAACCCTCCTTACAGTTAACAGTACGATCCTCTCCAAAGCTCAGCCCAAAAGCCGACATCACCCATGCTCCCACACTGTAATAGTCAATAAAAATACAAAAGTGTGATACAATACACTTCACAAACCTTAGCGGAAGACACACTGATTGTGTTGTGACAGCCTCTGAATGCAGAGAGCAAAGGGAGGGTGAACTTATCATGTGGTTTTGAACTTTCAAAACAATAAAAGAAAACATGGTGATCTAAATATGTTATGTGTTAATGTGCAGTTAACACCCCATAGATTGATACCCCCTCAACTGTGAGCATTTAGTCGGTTAAAACTGTTCAAAATGTCAAATTTTTTGCCTGCATTTTTTTATTAATTTTTTTTTTTATTGTCATGATGTCTTTTTCCTGATCAAAACATACCTGGGGTCATCTTTATAAAGCGTGCATATGCCAGAGTTCTGCACTGTGTTGGGTATCCCCCAGATAGTTGCTGAAACTGATGGATTTTAACCTGGAATTTTACAGGCAGGTATGCGGGCGGATAGTGATTACACATGCGTGGGGCATGTGAATCAAATAAACAACAGGAGAAAAATACTTCCAAAGTGTCCATTGTCCTGGAAACAAGTGTAATTTCATGGTCGTTTTCCAGCAGACCAGGCTGAGAGTGGCCTTAATGTATTTATTACATAAAACCATCAGCGGAGGTGATCAGCTCGGCTGCTGCACTCGTGGTTTAGTACTGGTTTAGACCTGGTCCAGTCATGGTCCAGTCCTGGTGTAGTCCTAGAGATTGGCTCTGCAGTTGCGGCGTGTATATATTTATAATCCACTAATGACATGGCGTATGGTCAGTCCTGGTTTAGTCTTGGTTTAGTCCTGGTTTAGTCCTGGACTATTGGGCTGCCGGATTAATGGACTGACCCCGATTTATCATGGGCATGGGCGAGTAACGAGTGGAATGTTAATGGGTTTGTGCGGGTGCAGATTTAACTTTGATATAATCACGTGTTAATGGGCGGGTGTAGTGCTGTTGCGAGTCTCCAAACATGTGTGCAGGACTCTGGCATATGCAGGATTTAAACATTAAGTTTGTGATCTATAAAAAGACATAAAAATTTGACAATTTACCATTACCATATTTCCAAGAATTAACTAGTACTAATCCTCATCGATTCACAACTGTCTGGGGGGAATAAACCTAATGGATTATCTTAGTTGGACGATTTGTCTATGTTTTAGGTTTATGAGGAAAATTAGAGTGCCTACAGTTAGACCACCCAGACACAGTGAAAAAATGCAAACACCACACAGAAAAACTCACAACCTTCTTGCTGTAGGGTGAGAGTACTAGCCATGGATACTGATGCTGTATCTTAATCAAGGACACAAAAACAGTATGTGCTGGACCAAACTGGACTCGAACAATGGTGGATGAGCATTCAAAGCACATGTCAGCTCCCTATAACTACTATTTTTGCCTCATTTAAACTCCTTCAGTCCTTGGTGCACGTGTAGGCTCGGTCCTTCCACCCTCTGCTGACGTTTTGTACTTCTAATATGACCTCAGTTAAACTTTTTACTGAATTAGCCTGGATGACGAAGCACCAGACATTTTTAGAACTCTGTGATTTCACTAAACCTGACTCATCCATTCATGTTATGCCAGAATCTGCTATAAAACTCAACCTGGAGCAATGTAGTTCATGCAACAGACTAGAAACAGTTTGTAAAAGTTAAATGTGTAACTTCTATTATTGCACACACAAATATTCCCAGCTGAAGCCCGGGGACAAATGAGAGGGAGCCTGGAGCTATGCAAATGGCCCACTTCAAGACCCTGCGCACTGCCTGCAGCTCTGGTGTAGTCTGCACAGCTAGAATGAATAAAGCTTTTGGTTAAACACACAGCAATGAGTAATGTAAGCGTCAGACGTGTTAACAAGTGTCAGATAAAGGCTAAGAATCTTTATGTTATATGAATAAAAGATGTGTATATTTAAAGGGCCCATATTATGCTATTTTCTGATGATATAATGCTGTTACCTCATCAGAAACATTTATTAATACATGTTTAACACACAAACCCTTAGGCTGAGTTCTTCTCTCAGAGTAAAAACACTCTGTTCCACCTTGTGAGGTCATGTGGTAATACAGGAAGTGCTCCACTGTGTTTTAAACCTTTGCTAGAGTCAATTGGATAATTCAAGATCTGGAATTTCCAGTCTCAACTGAACTAAAAGTAAAAGCTGTTAACTTGAAAACTATAGCTTCATGACATCACAAGGTGGAACAGAGCATGTTCAGCTTTGGAGACGTAGATGACTAACCTGATTCATCAGCTGGTTTCACTTTGTGGAAACTGACCTCGCAGCATTAGGATTTGTTCGCTCGACAGCAGGAGGGTACTTTTTTTATTTAACCAAGTCGCTGCTCTTTGGTCGTGACATATCTAATGCTCCAGAATGCTCAGTGGTGTCCAAGTAATTGTCGGCTTCACAGCTCTTCGCTGATTGGCTGGTGCATGGTCTACAACTTCCGGGGTTCTTGCAAACCGTCTAGTGTATTCTGGTTCCTGACCTAGTCACTGGAGAGAAATGAAATTGAGCAGAGGCACTAAGTAGTGCCAGCCTGGCTAGTAGGTGACATAGACGTAATAATAAAGGGTTACTCAAATGTGTGAATAAAATAAAACACAAGTATGTTTTTGAGGAGGTTACAAAGGTGCACTGCCTAACTGTGCTTAGTGGAGATGTTATTGCTTTGTTTGGAATGTTCCTTAGTATGGCATTAAACCAGCAGTCACTATGCATTAAAAAAAAAAAAAAAAAAAAAAAAGACTGTCAGTACTTTCTATTGATATCGCAATGATAATAAATAACACCTAGACTTTATTTTTCACAACAGCCACAAGTGCCGGGGTAAACGTGCTTTTCTATGGCAAAATATCTGTGGAAATGTCTCGCATATTTTCCACCAACTTCATAAGTCTGCCCCATCACCAAATCTTCATCCAACAAGGTCCACAAAGGACATATTCTGTCCATGAAGAAATGATCTACAACTATCAAGGTAAGAAAGACAAAAACGTAAATGCGAACAACGACGACGCATTAGTGAACTATTCCCGGGCAAAACTAACATTATGGTCCAGAATAAAACATAAGTAACTTGTGAACTCAGACTGAATCTACAATTAAAATTAAAAAATCAATTACATGATGTAGATTTTAGCATAGACAGAGAGATTTGTGCCGTTTAAATAGTTTAATGATAGACATGACTTCTGTGAACATCGAAGTGCACAAATCTCTCTATCTGTGCTAATATCTACATCACGAAATCGACTTTTAATTTTAATTCTAAAAGTCAGAGTTAACAAGTTACTTATGTTTTATTCATGACCATAACGTTAGTTTTCATCTTTCTTACCTTGATAGTTGTAGATCATTTCTTCATGGACAGAATATGTCCTTTGTCGACTTTGTTGGATGAAGATTTGGTAATGGGGCAGTTTTATGTAACTAAAATATTCAAGACATTTTCATATTTCAGATATTTTTCCATAGAAAAGCATTAACATATCAATCAGTCAATCAAACTGTATTTATAGAGCATTTTTCATACAAAAAAAAATCCAACACAAAGCATGGCATTTACCTTACATCGCAGCACTTCCAGCCGTTGTGAAAAAGGTCTATAGAATGTGATTTTCAACATTAAATGATAGTACTTTCTTTTATATTACCATGTGTCTTTATATCTGTGTAATCCCTCAGTCATCTAGGTCAGTTCCACAGTGATCCATGGGCGTATACTAGTCTCTGTGAACTTATACTAGTTCTGATACAGCTCAGAAAATGTAGTTTGGGATAGCTGTTGTTTATTGGAAAAACGCTGGATCCTTCATTCACATAAGACCTTGTCCAGAATAGCAAAGACTCTGCCTCTGATCTGGAAGGAATTTTCAATCTGCTCCGGTGCACATTTTATGAATCCTTCAGTAAGAAAATATTGAGAGCTAATAAGCATGTAAATGGTCCATCGACCCTCTGTCTGCTCAGATAATGTGTTTTAGATCAAGTTTGCTCGTGTGTGGATGGAGTGGGAATACATAGCACTATATACCAAGTGAATACAATGTTAGGTTGTGTGTATTCTGACTTACTCTATATTAAGAAATAATTCACCAAAACTTTATTGTGTTGGATTTTTCATTTTAAGGGGAGACGCAGATAGGCAAAACTATGATATTTCAGACTTCATTTTTTTGTCAGTTTGGTCTCTTGGCATACATGTATTCATGTGGAAACAACAGAAATGTCCACTCTGCTCTGAAAGGTGTTTTAATATTTAATTTAATCAACCTGCGTCCGTAGAGTTATATAGGACATTGTAACTTCAAAAGCCATTTTCTCAAAATTTTTTCTCAAATTTTTTCTTCCAATAGGGACATAACGACTTCAAAGTTGAACATATATAGAACAAACTGTACACTATTGGACTTAATAAGATTTTCACCAAACTTACAGAGATATTTAATTCCAAGTCTGATTTATTCAAGTTTTAACTCTAAAAAATGAGACGGAATTTGAATTTTTATGCACATTTTCAGTCAGATCTAGTTTACTCAAATATTAATTAAGATCCAAAATACCCTCCCTATATTTTTTAGTATTTATAATACTTTATAATATTATGTCAACAAAAAGAAGCAAGAAATTTAAACAAGGCTGCTTTTACGTTTCTGTTTGAATGTCCCAAAAACGTGTAATAATTTTTTTTTACATTTATATGTGTAAGCCT